TCTGTCCCCAGGCTGGAGTGCAGTGGTGAAATCATAGGTCACTGCAGCCTCAAACTCCTGGTCTCAAGTGATTCCCCTGCCTCAGCCTCCTGAGTAGGTGGGACTACAGGTGCACGCCACCACACCCAGCTAATTATTTTCATTTTTTGTAGAGATGGAGTCTTGCTATGTTGCCCAGGCTGGTCTTGAACTCCTGGCCCCAAGCAATCCTACCACCTCATCCTCCCAGAGCACTGGGATTATAGGTGTGAGCCACCACACCATATTACCAGGCCAGTATTGGTCTTAAATCCTGCAACCTTACTGACCTTATTAATTCTAGTAGCATTTTAGTGAATTCCTAAGGATTTTCTATATATAAAACCATACTATTTTTATTTTTTAACAGCTTTACTGAGGGATAATTGGCCACACTAGATTGTATGTATTTAATGTGTATATTTTAGTTTTGACATGTATATGCCCTTGAAACCATCAAGACAAAGTGATTGCAGCCAGCACAGTAGCTCATGCCTCAGCTCTGGGTGCTGGGAGGCTGGGGTGGGAGGATCACTTGAGGCCAGGAGTTTGAGACCAGCCTGAGCAACATAATGAAACCCCGTCTCTACAAAAAAAAAAATAGAAAAATTAGCTGGGCATGGTGGTGTGCACCTGTCATCCCAGCTATTCGGGAGGCTCAGACAGAAGGATGGCTTGAGCACAGGAGTTTGAAGTTGCAGTGAGCTCTGATCACATCATTGCACTCTATTCTGGACAACAGAATAAGACCCTGTCTCAAAAAGACAAAAAAATAACGATTGCAATCCTTACCCACCCCTGGGCAATCCCTGATTTGCTTTCTATCACTATAGATGAGTTTATTTTTATTAGAGTTTATTATAAATAGGACCATACAGTATATACTGATTTTTTGGTGTGGCTTGTTTCAGCAGTTACTCAAGATTCATGCATGTGCTCTACTGTATATCAATAGTTCATTCTTTTTCAAGTAGCAAACCATTGTATGAATATACTAGTTTATCCATCCATCACCTGGTGATGGACATTTGGGTTATTGCCAATTTTTTTTTTTATTTTTAAAATTTTATTTCAGCATATCATGAGGGTGAAAATGTTTTGGTTATATAAATTGCTTTTGTACAGTTTGAGTCAAAATTTTAAGTGTGCCCATCACCCAGATAGTGTGCATCATAACCGTTAGGTGTGAATTTACTCATCCTCTCCCACTTGCTTGATTTCTGATGAGTTTTATTTCCATATGTGCACATAAGTGTTGTTCAGTTAGTTCCAATTTAATGGTGAGTACGTGTGCTTATTTTTCCATTCTTGTGATACTTCACTTAGAAGAATGATCTCCCGTTCCATCCAGGTTAATACAAGAGGTATTAGTTCATCATTTTTTTTTTATGGCTGAGTAGTACTCCATGGTATACATGTACCACATTTTGTTAAATCCACTTATGTATTGATGGGTACTTGGGTAGTTTCCACATCTTTGCAATTGTGAGTTGTGCTGCTTATAGCCAATTTTTGGCTATTACAAATAAAGCTACTATGAACATTTAAGTATTTTTAGGAACATACATTTTCATTTCTCTTGGGTAACTACCTAAGAGTGGCATGGCTAGATCACAGGGTAGATATACACAGTAACTTTTTAAAGAAACTAGCAAAGTTGGCCAGGTGTGGTGGCTTATGCCTATAATCTTAGCACTCTGGGAGGCCGAGGCGGGAGGATTGTTTGAGGTCGGGAGTTCGAGACCAGCCTGAGCAAGAGCGAGACCCCGTCTCTACTAAAAATTGGAAGGAATTAATTGGACAACTAAAAATATATAGAAAAATTAGCCGGGCATGGTGGCGCATGCCTGTAGTCCCAGCTACTTGGGAGGCTGAGGCAGAAGGATAGCTTGAGCCCAGGAGTTTGAGGTTGCTGTGAGCTAGGCTGACACCACGGCAGTCTAGCCCGGGCAACAGAGTGAGACTCTGTCTCAAAAAAAAAAGAAACTAGCAAACTGTTTTCTAAAGTGGTTGTACCATTTTACATTCCTATCAGAAGTGTATTTAACTCATAGCTTTCTTCATTGATCTGATCTTTGCCTTTTGATGGAAAACTTGAATTTTTTAAGTACCTAAGAGTGTGCTATGTTCTAAAGACTCATATGCAAAACAGGAAACTTAATAAAGTCTGAGAAGTGCTGTGGGAAGATAAAGGAAGCCTACAGCCATTTCTTCTTGGGGTGGATATAGTGGTCAGGAAAAGATGTAATAAAGGGTACACAGAAACTCTTACTAAGCTTAGCTGGTCAACTAAATCTTGGAAGATTGTTTACAAATCTACAATGAGAAAAAAATTTTATTTATGACAATCTTGAGCAGAACAAAACTTAGAAGCTCTACTGAGGTGCAAGGAACATGGATGTGATGCTAAGCAACTCTTTTTCCATAAAATGTGTAAGATAAGAGTATGATGGAGCATGGTAATCCTGAAAGCAGTAATCCTCATATTTCAGTAGAGCCCTGTAGCTTTTATTTTAAAATAAACAAGGCTAGAAAGAACTATAGAGTTTTCTTTTTAAGAATATAGTGAGTAACAACAATTACATGAAGCAAGCTGAGCAAAAGTACATATAAGTATAAACAAAACATTTTTCACCCAGGTAAAATATTGATGCCATAACCAAACCATATGGTCCAGATTTATTAAGATTACTAGATTCTCTCAACTAGAGGATGCAGCAGTGGCCTTTCTATCCTAGCTTACCCTATTCTTAGCTTGTTCAAATTCTACTGAAGCTTGTATAACTAGCTGCCATCAGTTAAATGCTATTGCCTAGAAGAGGACTGCAGTTCTGTTAATAATTAGAACCAGCAGGGGAACTTGACGTTAAGAATCTAGGTTAAGAATCTCTAGGATGTGAGTGTGGTACATGGACGACCCCTCGGTCTCCCCCCCTGGCCTTGCCTTTGTGGGAATGTGGAGAGTGTGCATCTATCATCTGGACGCCAACATCAGAACAGCCAAATTTTGTCATCGGTACACCTACAGTGATGACTTTCTCCCTCGGGATATCCGTATTTCTCAACACCTCTTATTGATTGCCACCATACTAGGGTTCCTGGGGAGAGGCCTCACCATCTTGGCACTTAGGAACATGTTCATGGGAATTCCCCAGAGGCACAACACCTGCAATCTATTTGTTGTTACGGGGCTTCTGAACATAATTGCTGGTGTCTTGGTCGCAGTTGCCGTGCACTACAATTACCAGTCTGTCAGAAATTCACAGGGGATTGCCTTCCTGCCCTCTTTCCGTTTGCCCTTCAGGCCGGATAGTCAGGAAACCGGGTGTACCGCTTTAGTGGCAAGTGTAGGTGCCTTCCTGATGCTGTTAAGTGGGCCCTTTTTGCTCTCTGGCCAATGTCCCCTGGGCATCCGAGTACATCCTGTGAATTGAAAAACATGGATTTCCTGTTTCCTTCTGTTACCTTGTGTGTCTGAATGTGGTTCATTGGTTAGTTGAATTAGAAACTTTCATTAAAAATGTTTCTTGCCAAAAAAAAAAAAAAAAAAGAATCTCTAGGATGGTTCTCATTAGAAAACTGACTTAGCTAAAAACCATTTCAAAGAATTTGAATTTGCGAGCTTTAAGGTGATGTCTTTTCAGAGATGTAGCACATGAAGAACCCATGGACACTATGTAGATTATGAATAGTTAACAGTAGAAAAAGATATTTTGATTAAAGTGAGGAAGACAGTATAAAAATATTTAAAAAAGGAAAATAAGTTCAGAATAAAGGAATTTACAAGATGTTCAAAAATTACTAATCTTCAGCCATACTGAGGCCCCTTCGTGCTCCCAAAACCTTTGCTTTCTTCTCCTTTCGTTCTTGCTCGTGTTTCTTCCGTTGCTCTTCCCTAAGAGGGACAGGTCATACGTTAGGCTCTAATGAAGCTCTACTACAGACACTTTAAAGCAACTACTACTGAACTAGTATCCAAACCTAAAATGACATCTAGCACACTTGTGTAAAACAGACTCTTAGAGGGCACTGTGCTTGCCTAGTAGTCTGACACCTGTTAGTCATTGTTGTGTTAAAGGGCTAGGAATTGGTATTTTCCTTTTTGTTAACTCAGCATTCTAAAATCCTGCATGGAACTGGAAACAGAAGGCACCTTGGTGATTGAATCCAACTCCTGTACTTTTAAAAAGTTTTATTTATTTATTTGGGCCATGCTAATCTCTGTATTGTTCCAATTTTTAGTATATGTGCTGCCAAAGTGAGCACTAAAAGTTTGTTTTAAATGAGAAATCTCTATACCTGTACACCTAGAAATCAAAGTCAAAAGTCAAGCTCAAAATCACAGTCTGGTGAAAATGCTAGAACTAGAACCAGGGGGGTCTACTGGTTCAAGCCACTAGGTTTTTCACTAGAGGGGATTAAGCAGAAAATGAAAGGAAAAGCCCAGTATCATGTTAACTATCTTAATAAATACAGTTGGTAAAGGCATTGGTGGCAGCTGGCTATAGGCAAGAGTCAAATGATAAGTAGCCCTGTATCAGGAGAGTTCCACTCAGGGAATCTAGACTCACCCAGAACCAGCTGAAGCCCAGGGTGAGCTCTGGCTTTTTAAGTTGGTTTTCATGCTGAAGGAAATCTCTAAGGACCCTCCTGGGTGTTTTTTCCCCTGAAAGGGCCTTGACACCTTGTACGCCTGGTTTCCTTGAGTGAAGAATTTACATCTACCTGCATACCTAGGTTCCCCGGGCACTTGAGCATTGATGTCTGGAGGGATATCCATGTGCATTGTTTGGTCAGATATGTTATGCAAGAGCAGTATGGTGAATCCAGGTCTTCTTCTGAATCACCTGTAAAGCCTTGGGAACAAGGCAGATGTTTGGATCTCACCCCAAACCTACTGACTAGGAATTCATTATGCTGGAGACTAGACACGTGTACTTTCTGAAAGTTCTATAGGTAATTCCACTTCTAACCTCTCCTTAACACATTGACTGCCACACTAGAAAAAAATTTTTTTTCTTTGGGGCCATAGTGTTTTATTATGAGAATAGAATAGGTTGGGCACAGTGGCTAACACCTATAATCCTAGCACTCTGAGAGGCTGAGGCCGGAGGATCGTTTGAGATCAGGAGTTTGAGACCAGCCTGAGTAAGAGCAAGACCCCATTTCTACTAAACATAGAAAAATTATTAAGAGCTGGGCATCGTGGTGGGTGCCTGTAGTCCCAGCTACTTGGAAGGCTGAAGCAGGAGGATTGCTTGAGCCCCCCAGGAGTATGAGGTTGCCCTGAGCTACAATAACACCACTGCACTCCACCTGGGGCGACAGAGCAAGAACAAGACTATCTCAAAAAAAAAGAAAATAGAATAAAAACTTTGAGAACAAAATGATCCTTTCTAATTTAATGAAAATTTGTTATTTTTTATTGTTTTCCGTACATGAGTTTTATGCAACTTGAAAAATAGTTCTTATGGCTCCCAAGGTGAAGAGACATGAATTACACATGCTTCACGAGGCCCGGGGCTCAAAAGTAGCGTGAGTTACATACAACTCATATGGCAATTAAGTGTTAAACACCACTATACTGAGACTATCCCTCAGAGGTGCTGTTTTATATATACAGTCTTTTGAAATTAAAAGAATTATAAAACTGAATAAGTATGTACTCACCTGGTCTGGAGACGAGGTTGTTTGTAAGTTTTCTTGTGGAAGTTAACTCTGTTTACATGTTCATTCAGAGAATTGTTTTCTTTAGATTGCCCCCATGGTTTCAGCTTTCCTAGTTTAGGATAGAGACAAAACCAGTTGTATACTTTCAACTTCATTCTCTTCATCTGTGGCTACTTGCTTGCTATCAACATTTATATTTTGTTTTTATAGACACTTGCCAGTATATTCTGTATTTTAATTTCACATTTATTTTAATTTCACAGATATAAATAACATTTTTCCTCTAAAGATGTGTCCTATTTTTTAATCCTTGTTACATCATAGAAAAAATGTTAACAGTAAAAAAAAAAAAAGTCTTGGGGAGTACATATTCAGGTTTACTTGAATCTGTGTTTCTGGGAAAGAAAAATAAAGATAAAAAAAACTTAATACTAAACCAGCACATTAAAAGAAGCCATTAAAATCAAGAAGTTTATCCCAAGACTGCATAGGTGTTGTATTTAAAGTAGTATTTAATTAAAGTAGTATTAATATTAAAGTAGTATTTCACCTGTGTCGTTTGTCATTACTGTTAGCTATTAAAATGTATTTGGAAAGGAATGAATGGGACTATTTTGTTGGCTTTAGAATTGGGACCAGATCCAGTAATCCCACTTCTGGGTATTTATCCAAAAGATCTGAAATCAGTTTGTCGAAGAAATGTCTGAACTGCAATATTCATTGCAGCACTGTTCACAATGGCCAAGTTATGAAATCAACCTAAGTGTCCATCAACAGATGAATAAAATATAGTATACATACACACACACAATGGAATACTATTCAGCCTTAAAAAGGACGTTCTGTCATTTGCAACAACATCGATGAAATTGGAGAACATTATGTTAAGTGAAATAAGCCAGGCACAGAGAAATTCTGCATGTTCTCACTTGTGTGGAATCTAAAACAAATTCATAGAAGCAGAGAGTAGAGTGGTGGTTAGAGGCTGGAGGTGGGAGGAATGGGAAGATGATGGTCAAAAGGTGTCATTCTGATCACATATACATTTTGAGCAGCTGGTATGTGCCAGGGACTGTTTTGGGTACAGGAGACAGAACAGTGAACCAAACAGTAAAAAATCCCTGCTCTCTGGGCTTACCTCCCAATGGTAGAGACAGTTAATAGTCCAAGTAACATATCGTCAGATGGAGCTAAGTGTCATGAAGAAATGTAAAAGCGTGTAAGGGGCAAAGAGGGATTATGGGAGGCAGGAAAGTGAAGGAAAGGCCTTTCTGAGGTGGTGACAGTTGAGAGGATACCCCATGGAAATGAGGGAGCAGGCTGTGCAGAGGTCTGTGTGAAGAGTATTCTAGATAGGTAGAGGGATAGCAAGTTCAAAGATCTTGAGGTGGGAATGAACTCAGCATATCTGAGTAGTTGGGACAGCAGTGTGGTTGGAGCATCGTCAGAGAAGGGAGGATGCAGTGAAATGGGGGGGAGGAATCTTGAGAAATTTTGAGCAAGGGAGTGATGTGCTCTGATTTGTTTTTAAGGATGTAGTGGGACAAAGAGGCTACTCTAGCTCAGGCAAGAGATGATGGCAACCTGGACCAAAGGGGGTTGCAGTGGAGGATTAAAAATGGACAGATTGAAGATCTCTTTCAAAGGCAGAGATGGAAGGACTGGCAGGCTGGATATGGGGTCTAAGAGAGTGAACAGGCAAGGATGACTCCAAAGTTTTTCCCCCAAACAACTAGGTAGATAGAGGTACCATTGCCACAGATAAGAAAACGTGGGGAGAAAAAAAATGGGGTGTGTGTGTATGTGTGAAGTAGACAATTCTTTTTTACTACAGTTTAGCTGATTGTACTTCTAAATAAGATTTAAGTTTCATTATATTTGTTTCCTTAACCTTAGTGGTTTACAGATAAACATTGTTACCTAAGTGTGATTCTTTTAGGAACTTTGTGTGCTTTAAAGTAATTCCAGAAGCACTGAAAGACAGATTACATCTTAATATATGCTTAAGAGTGGTTGTAATGGGGCAACCTTGGAATCCTTTCTAGGATTGTCAAGTATGGCTTCCACTGAGACACTAGAATTTTTTCACATCCTTAGATGCAGGATTGATTACTTTAATCTGATGTCTTTTATAGGCCCTAAACCTCAAAACACTCCCACATACCTTTGTGTGGTTCATAGTTGAGGGGACGAGACAAACTTGCTTTAAGATCAAACACTGGCTTCTTATTGGAGACTGGAGTCTGCATTGCCTCCGTTGTCACCTTGAATGGGGTAATATCTAACAAAAAAAGCACCAAAAAACACCAAGTGCTTAATTAGAAAAAAAGACCTGTTATACTTTTCATCAAAGTATCACTTCTTAATATTAAAAATATAATCTCTGTTATAGACTGAATGTTTGTGCCATTCTCCCCCACCCCAAAATAACATTGAAATCCTAACCCCCCCTATGTAATTGGTATTAGGAGGTAGGCGCTTTGGAAGGTAAGTAGGTCATGAAGGGATTCATTTCTTATAATGGGACCTCACAGAGTTCTCCAGCTCTCTCTCTACCACATGTGAGGATACAAGAAGTTGGCAGTCTGCTAACCAGGAGAGGGCCCTCGCCAGAATCTGATCATGCTAGCACCCTGATCTGCCCTGATCCGGCCTCCAAAAGTACGAGAAATCAATTACTGTTGTTTATAAGCCAGTATATGGTGCTTTATTATAAAGCAGCCCAAACAGACTAAGACAATCTATATGAACAGTCTGAAACAGATGTGGGGTTAAAAAGGAGAAAAGGAGAGAAAACAATAACTAAGGAAAGCTCACCTATTAAGCTTTGTTTCCCCTGTTAAGCAAATATTCTGAATATTATTACATTTTCTAGGATCAGCTGGGAGTTTAGAATTCTTTTTGAAGGAAAAACCGGGTAATTTTTCAGTCGGTTTCCCTGATAGTAGATACCCTTTTAGAAAATTATGTTATTGGCCAGGCACAGTGGCTCACGCCTGTAATCTTAGCACTTTGGGAGGCTGGGGTGAGAGGATTGCTTGAGCCTAGGAGTTCGAGACCAGCCTAAGCAACATAGCAAGATTCCATCTCTACAAAAAATAAAAAGAAAAAATTAGCTGGGCGTAGTAGTGGCGCATGCCTGAAGTCCCAGCTACTCAGGAGGCTGAGGCAGGAGGATTGCTTCAGCCCAGGCATGTGAGGTTGCAGTGAGCTATGATGTACTCTACCCTATCTCAAAAAAAAAAAAAAAAAGAAAAAGAAAAAAGAAAAAAAAAATTAGCCCAGCTTGGTAGCACACGCCTGTATTCCTAGCTACTTGGGAGGCTGAGGCAGGAAGATTGTTTGAGTCCAGGAGTTTGAGGTTATAGTGAGCTATCATCATGCCACTGCACTCCAGCCTGGGTGACAGAGTGTGACCCTGTCTCTTAAAAAAAAATTGTGTTATTAATAGTATTATCATTAACACAAACAGATATAAAGAAACCTGATCAGATATAGTTGAAAAGATTCGTGGCTCTGGTTAATAATAAAGGCTGTATAACTTATGAATGTGAATTTTTCCATCATAAAGTTAGAAGTATACCAAAATGGTATAATTTGGTAAAGCTTTTTTGCTACAGATGGGCATCAGTATCTGGCACATTTTATAATCCCTTTTCCTCAAAGAATAAGCCACTCACTTTCATCCAGGTCATTGTCAAATGTTAACACCTGCCTGTATTTGTGAAGCAGCAGTCAGAATCTATAAGCTATCCCCTCACGTCACTATCAAGTGCTGGTAGGGAGTGGAACAAGGGGCTATCGTCATACAGTGCTGGTGGGGGCACGAATAGGTGTAATTCAGCCAGGATAGTAAATGTCTACATACCCTCCGATCCAGCAGTCCTGCCTCTAGGTCTAGAAAAACTCGTGCACATGTATAGGAGACATGTTCAAGAGTGTTCAGTTATATCATATATAATAACAAAAACTGGAAATACCAACATGTCCATAAGCAGTAGATAAACCAAAATATATCCATACCCCGGAAAAGTACAGTGAAAATGATTGAATGTGATTGAATCTTCAAACGTTATGCTGAGTGAATGAAACAAATCATAGGAAAAAAAATCAAGAGTTTGATTTTGTTTATATAAAATTTGTCATTTGTTAATGGGAAAAATATAAAACTATCTCATCCCAACTGGGTACACCCCCAAATTACTTACAGAAGATGGCTCAGTATGTTGTAATCATTTAGTCTTGGCCTCATGTCTTTATCTGTGGGCATTTGTAAACCTGTTCTCATTATAAAGGTAGGTGGCTACTGTTCAGTAACTGCCAGCTCTTTATAAATAACAGTCATATCTTAGGTAAGTCCAGCAACCATTCTCTATCACTGCCCCCTACCCAGTGCCTTTCTTCATGATTTGGAATGTTACATGGAATGTTTGCTGGCAGATACAGATAAGGTTAAGGGGGTAGAGCAGGAATGGGAGGTCATTTGGGGAAGAATCATAAATTTACTATTCCTACCTCTGGACTCACTTGAAATTTGGTTGTCAGTCTCACTACTCAGTCTTTAATTGAGGTCATTAAGACATGAAGAAATCCTTAAATGGAGTCTCCACACTGATTATTACCAACCATACTCTCCTCTAGTCTTATTTCTGATGGAGTCTTTTAGTCTCAGGGAATCTGGCAATCGTTTCTGTATCTGTGTAACCAAAGCTCTTGGACCACCACATTCCACAGGACTCTCGAGGGAATCTCGACATATCTAGTTGTATTACGGGCCTCAACTTGGTTGTAATGTTTAAACCTTCATATCACTGCTGCAAGTATTCTTTTGAAAGGTGGTGGTCCACTGTGTAGAAAAATACCTGTATGTCTTACTCTGGCTTGTACAATCTATTAGTCATTAGTGTGGCACTTATTCCATGAACTCTGTGGTCTGGGATCCTGTTAGTTTCAAAGTCCTGCAGAGCCTCTCAGAGACTGTAATGCATACTGTGCTCTTCCTCTTACTCCCCGAGTCCCAGAAGGGGCACAGTGCTCTTTAGGGAGCCATCAGGCAGGTATCAGGTTTTTGCTGGTGTCTCTGACATTTCTGTCACAAGTATAAAATGAAAAATATCCTATGGGAAAATTTTCACTTGTGATTTATAGATACGGAGAGGCTTTAAGGGAACAGATAGACTTAATAATTTTGGGAAATTACATGGCTTAAAGATGAAACAGAAGGGTTTTTTTTTTTTTTTTTACCAATAACAGCAGAATTCCCCTTGGTGGTCTTGTGTGTCCCAAGCACAGCCTGGCCTTTTGAGGCAATCCCAGATGTGGTCACACGTGCAGACTTTCTGGCTGGAGTCTTGGTCAGTGAACGCTTATGCTCATTATCTTTAGTAGCAGCTGAAAACCTGAACAGTACAGTGGAGTATAATACATGGAGCTGAGTACTTGGGGCAAGAGTAACCTGTGTCAAGCTTATAAATAAAACCACTCGACCATCAGCAAGCAGTAAAATGGTCTCAGTAAATACTTGTTATATGAATGAACCTCTTTTGCAGAAGAAACATGTTCTTAAGGCTGATACTAAAGCAAATCATTGATCAACTTCTGATACTTGTTAAATATGTTCTTGTATTTTCTGCTCTCCCTGCCTTGGCCAATGACAGTATAAGATAGCACTCAAGGTATGAGCCTGTAGGCCTCAAGTTATAGTTCAGGACACAATCCCAGGAGCTCCCCTTCTTTCTCTTCCTGCTCCTGGGGTCAGCATGTCAGAGGGAGCAGGAGATTGCTATGCCAGATGAGTAGTGAGATCTTATATCTTCAAAGAAGAATGCCATTCAGTTGAGTGGTACAGAAATAACCACATTCTCTACTCATGGCAAATGGCCATTAATATACTTCATTGATTCTCTGATGTATATTTTTTCTACATTTTAACATCTCTGACATTGGTTTTTGTTTTGTAATTGGTAACATGTCAATAGTTAATTGGCAGTCACTTTTCCTAATGGTTCATAAAATAATGGTGAGTCTTCAATCAGTGATGTCTTAGATTGAATGAAAATCCAGTAATGACATATATAAATGCACATAGGTTTGCTGGTGATAGGGTTAACAGAAAGAAACTTCTGGACTTATAAATTTGATGGTCATCCTGAATCAACATGCTGAAATTATTACCAAGGACTATATAATGGAGTTAAAAAAATTAGATGTTTCTTGGCACAGTGGCTTATGCCTGTGATCCTAGCACTTTGGGAGGTCAAGGCAGGACAATCACTTGAGCCCAGGAGTTTGAGACCAGCTTGGGCAACACAATGAGACCCTGTCTCTACAAAAAATTAGAAAAACTAGCCAGGTGTGGTGGCATGAGCCTGTAGTCCCAGCTATTTGGAAGGCTGAAGCAGGAAGATAGCTTGAGCCCAGGAGTTTGAGGTTGCAGTGAGCTATGATTGTGCCACTGCACTCCAGCCTAACAACAGAGCAAGACCCTATCTCAAAAAAGAATTAGACGTGATATGATAGGTGCTGTGAAGTCCAGCTCTGTGCTTTACAGTGAAGGAAGGGCCAGCAGGTTCACCATGGGGTTCTTAAGTAATATTCAATGAAGCTGGGGCAGTGGCTCACCCCTGTAATCCCAGCCACTTGGGAGGCTGAGGCAGGAGAATCGCTTGAGGCCAGGAGTTCAAGAGCAGCCTGGGCAATAAAGCGAGACTCCTGTCTCTAAAGAAAAAAAAAAGTACCAAATGAAATCAGAACCACTAATTATAGGTATTTCATATTCCAAGCTAACTCAATAAAGAGAATTCCAAACTTAAGGCTGTTTTTAAGTTTTAAAAACTATGTTAGATAATTGCACATGTTGGGAAAAGTTACCATGCCCCAGGTCTATTAGACACTACAAATACCTTTTGAAAAGGAGAGAATAAAATTTTGGTATTAGAAGGAACCTGAAGATTTTCATCTGTGAGGACAGTCACAGTTGAAGGTGACGTTGATGTCAGGAAAGGCACAAGCAAAGAAAAACAGGGATTAATGGGGCATAAGATGGCTATGATACTGCAGTGCCCGATGGGTTACAATGTTAGTACTTTAGGAAAAATCAATTTTTCAGTTCACTACATTGAGAGACTTTCTGTAGGAATTTAGCTTTACATATTCTATTTAAGTCAATGGAAAACTTTCTCCTTAGACATCTTGGCAGGTATACATTAATAAAATGAAGACTATCCATATATATCTTTTTTTAATATTTACTTATTAATCAAGTATATGCTTAAGAAAGCTGGATAATACACAAAAACTGAACACAAATTTAAAGAGAAAAGATTAGAACTTAAACTGTTCACTGATCTCTCTGTTCCAGATCCTCTTTCTGTTTTGTTTTTTTTTTAAACCAATGTTAAAACAAATTTGGTGTTGTCCACCTGAAATCTTGCCTATGATTACAACTCTGAAGTGACTTCTTTACCTGACATTCGTTTTAGTTGCGGAGATAGCAGAGCACTTGACTGACCCCTTCAGACTCAAAGTGCTCTGACTTGCAGGGCTGTGAAACCAGCCTTGTGAGTGCTGTTGGCTGACAGGAGTACAAGCCACAGAAATTCTTCCTCTTGGAGGAACTGGAGTCACTACCCTGCCCTTATTGACAGTCTGCTTCTGAAAAAGAGAAAAGGGCACCATTTTAAAAGCTTGGTCTCATAAACAGTACTGTCTCCAAGACAAAGCCCAGAGCAGTGTTCCCATTTCCCCCTGTGTCAGCCCCACTTTTAACTCCACCTGGCATCTCTTCTGCGCTACACCACCTTGTCCTGTCCTACCTGTCTGTCTAGCAGCCCAGTTACCCACCACTGTGTTGCTGTGGTGATTCTGCTGTAAAGAATAACTTCTGGTTGTGAGTTACAAGTCTTTCCCAGCTGCCATGTACCCATACATAGAAGAATTTTCTAACTGGATAAAGAATATAGCACAACTGTCCCTTGTAGCCAGAAAGAAAGAATAGATTCTCTTGGCAATATGGTAAATTTGAGAGCATGATATACAGTTTATTAGATACAAACTGAAAGAAGAAACTATTATATATTTAGCAGGTGGCATCTACAAATAATTCCACCCTCTCCCTCTCTTCCCAAACAATAGCATTTTGAAGTTCTTAAAAATAAAAAAACTAAGGCCGGACACAGTGGCTCATGCCTGTAATCCCAGTACTTAGGGAGGCCTGGGCAGTAGGATCACTTGAAGCCAGGAGCTTGAGACCAACCTGAACAAGAGTGAGATCCCGTCTCTAAAAAAAATAGAAAAATAAGCTGGATGTGGTAGTACACACCTGTAGTCCCAGCAGGGAGGCTGAGGCAGGAGGATCACTTGAGCCCAGGAGTTTGAGGTGGCTGTGAGCTATGATAATAGCACTACACTCTAGTCTGGATGACAGAGCAAGACCCCGTCTCAAAAAAAAAAAAAATTAAAAAAGTAAAAGTGGGCCAGGCGCGGTGGCTCACGCCTGTAATCCTAGCTCTCCGGGA